CAGGATGAGGAGGACGAGGAGGAAAGGGGGGTGGGGGTGGGGGTGGCGGTTCGACGAGTTCTATCTAACTTGCTAGAGCAAATAACACCTGCCGTTCGCGTCGTGTAAACTTTCGCCCAACCTCTCCTCCAAAGTTAGCGCTTTGGTGTACAACCCGTAGAGGTGCAGGATATACTATGGGATTGGCACGAGTGGATTGAGTGGGGAGGGGCGGGGAAGGGAGGGCGGGGGGAGTTGGGCCGTTGGGTGGATGGAAGCAGCAGTAAAAGGTAGCAGGGCTTTTTCAAAGTGGAAATAGGTACGAAGACCTCGGATATTTCTTCCATTCATATCGTACCACCCCAGCACCCGAAGTCGTTGGATTTCATACACAAAAACCAATCCAACAAACTCCATTATACTAGGTGGAGCTCCCCTTCAGCCTCTAGACGGCAATGGATAAGATTATTGGATAGAGGGAGAGAAATTGTGAGTATTACTCTGTTGCGAAATTCTTCACAATCTCGGCGAATGTAATTGAGATTTTTCATTGGGAATTTACATGCAATAGAGCGTTCGAATGTCATTAAGAAATTTTTCATCGAAAGTTGATGGAGTTCAAAGTACTTGGCAGTCTTTACTGTAATCTTTCAACTTGGTAATATCGCGTCGAGCAGAAATATGAAAATAATTCACCGGGTGAGAGCTTCTTGGACTGCTTTCATGCAGTTGTGAAATAACAGAAACTTTTGAGTTTACCTCGTTTCTGAGAGTATTTTATTATTTTCAACGGCGCGAGTCCAGTGTCTGTCTCGCCGGACTATTATTTCGACTCTTCAACAAGTTTTACATGCACCCAGTCACAATGCAATGGCGGTCTGACACAGGATGACCTTGAATTCTTGAGATTTGGACGGGAAGATTGGGAAGGGGGGCATCGCGAGTCGCGTGACCTCGTGGATAAAGCCCCCGGAGGTGTGTTTGAAATATTCACAATTTCTTTCTCTCCCTTTCTCTCTATCCGACTATCTTCCTCTCTCCTCCTTCTCGTGTCACATAACGGAGTGTACATCGTGTACATCGCGCTTCCGGAGTGGCCGGTTGCCGTCACGCGAGACTTTATTATTGTAACGTGACAACGGTTACAAGCGACGAGCCTCTTCTCTCCCGCGCGAAACCAGCTACCAGTGCAAGTTGCGAGAGTATACCACGGTTGGAAAGTATAAAGGAAAGTTAAGAGGTTGTCTGATTATCTTTATTATTTTTTTTAATTTTTTTATTTATTTATTATCCTTGTTTCCTACATTTTTTCTCGAGACCCTTCATATTTCAAAGAAAAACCCCTTCAGCAAAAAGAATCTCCATCTTTTCACTTTGATGATAGAACCACGGATACATAGTGAATGGAGATTGCGATCTTCGTGCAGCACAGCCATTCTGATTACTAATTAATTTTTTTCCGCCCTCAAATGATGAAATAAGAAGAATTCCATCCATTTAGACAACTTGGCTTTCCTCTTCATCGCGTGAAAACACCAATTCCCCCACAACGTAGTCTTTTGTTGAACAAATTAGGCTCTATCTCGCGTCATAATTGCGTCATTACCTGCCAAATTGGTATTATCGACAGCGTCGATCTCATCTATTAGCGTTATATTTTTATGTTTCATTCTTTCTCCCTCCTCCTTCTCTCACTCTGTACGCTGCTCTCCTCCTCCTCCTCCTCCCTCCCTCTCTCTCTCTCTCTCTCTCTCTCTCTCTCTCTCTCTCTCTCTCTCCACTTGCTTTTATTAGATCTTACGGCCAGTAATTGGCCACGTTCTCGAGAGCGCGGACGTATTCAGCGTAATTGCCACGGGGGTAATAAAATTTGTCCGGGGGAGAAGAGTGAGGAGAGTCGAGAGGAGGCTACACCGAGAGGGACTCTAGTGCGAATCATGGCATCGGGGCAGTATCGTCCGATTATCGATAAGCAGTCAAGGGGCGGGGAGGGGGGACCACATAACCGCATATTACAACGGAAATTTCCGCAAACGAGAGACGAAAAGAAAAAGATGGAAAATCATGAGGGATGAGGGGGACGAGAGGAGGGGTGGACGTATAAAAAGTGTCGGGGAGTATTCTCCAACAAAATCCGCGTGAAGTTGGTTTCAGTGCGTCCATTAGCCAGTAAACGATATCCCTTTTTTATTATTATCCCAGGGACTCATTACTCCAGCATGCATCCCAACTCTTGCTCTCTGTTTCCATTCTTATAATCGCATAATGGTAATATACTGCATCTCGAGAGAGGTCCACTCCTTCCTGTACTTGCACTGGTCTTGCAACAACGTTTGTCTTTGTCGCGTGTGTGAGGCACTTGCGTGCGTGCACCATATCTAACCCCCTCCCCCCCCTCCGCCNGTAACCACACACATATCGATGCGCATCTCGAGACCTCCTTTCAAGATGTTTCAGGAATATACTCTCATTTCGCACGATTCTACATACACAATTTTTTTACACCCTTATTTATTTATTTAAACTCGTTTTCTCAAGCAAGCTGCTGCACACACATGCACGGCTGGTTTGTAGTACGAAGAGTCGTCATGAGAAAGCACTTGGTAAAATGAAAGGAATGCTGAATCAACTTGCTGTGGACAATCTGCTCGGCTCTCAGCTGGGGTTTTACCGATAGCAATCGCCGCGGATTAATTATGCGTAATGCGCGTTGAGCTTCGTCGAGCATACATTTTAGTTGGAAAAATAATCAGAGATACTGCACGAGGGATAGTTTCCACTTGCCTCACTTCTTCTATTCCTCGGTGTGTACATAGACGCGATTAAAGCCGGGGTATATTCAACGAGTTAACATTCAATTATCATTGTCCCTCCAATGGGTTTCCCAGCTTCCGCGATAATTACACGTGTGTGGGTCTTCGATAGGTCTTTTTTTCAGAATTTTCTTACGCACACTGGTAATTGCTATATTCCGCTTGTATGTGGATTTATGTAATTGCACGATTTTGCAGGGTGAGGGAGAGGGCGAGGGAGAATTATTCAGAAAATCATCGATAATTTAGCTGGATGATGCGTAATTTCATGAAAAATTTGTTGTGTCAGGGAAATTTTTCCCCAGTTTTTAGAAAATAACAATTTAATTTTTACTCTCAGTTTCTGGTTCTGAACTCTGCACGTTGTAATATAAAAAATATGCCCCAAGTCAGAATTTCTGACACAACGGACTGAAATAGTATCTATGGTGCGATGGGATTTTTTACACGGGAGGTTGGCTAGTCCTCGCCTTCGGCTCAAACAACTCGACAGGAGTAAAAACCCCGTCGCCAGAGCCCCCGGACAAGATTTTTTTGTAGCGATTTTCAAGTTTCCGATTTTTTTTTGTACCAATTTTCTAATTATAATCACGAGTCAGATAATACTTTTGTCGCCGTTTGATATACAATATTTTCTGTCACTGGTCACTAGTGGCATCATATAATATTGTGGTCTCTAAAAAAAATATCTCTATAAATTTATATGGATGAAGTACTTATTAGTCATCTTTGACTTCATTTTTTACGAAATTCTAGAATTATATGATCACCAGTAAATATTTGGGAGCAAGGGGTGAAAATTCACCACTCCTTTCGCATTCTTTCTCTTGATATCGAGTTAAAAAAGACCTCTAACGAAATTTCACTCCACGATTACTTGATTTTTTTCAGCAACTTGCCTTCAATTTTTTTTCTCCTCGTTCACTTACGGAGGATTAAATAATGTTTTTTACATTTTTTCGCTTTCAGGCGTAGTCGTAGCTAGGGGCCTCACCATGGAGTGCGGCAAGGGTCGACGGAGAAGCCTGCTTGGCGGGCTCATCCTTGCCTGGTTATTCATCAGTGACTGCATCGTAGCTGCTAGAGACAGAGGTATGTTGAAAACTCAATTAAATATTTAATATGAAATTTATTCATGGAGTTGGCTCAACAGCTGGCTTGCAATTTCAGGCGGGTTTATTGATGATGCGGTGCAACGAAATGAGTCGTTCAATAATATCAGAGGGGGGCTTATTATTTCTAAGTTTACGTGTTCGGTGATGAATTCACGTTGTTCCATCAATTTCTGATAATATCGTGGATTTACTGTAGCGATTACACCGAATAATTCCCTGCATTCAGTTCCCCCTTGAAACTACAATGACAATAAAAAAAAAATTACCCCGAGTTTGATATTTCTCTTTCCCCTCAATTCTCCAAAATCGCGTGAAATCCCACCGTTAATTAAACATGCACTGAATCCACTAACAGCCCACAGTAATTCAATATTACCGAACTCTGGCGTAACTCCGCAATTACTATTCTCCGTCTACCCATAACTCCAACCGTTGCTGTGAGCCCAACAGTTGAAACCCCCGAGTCTCGTGAAAATCTCGTGCAAATCAATTGCCTCAACTACTCCCTACAAACAGCAGCAAAATATAAAAAAAACACCAATGAATTTATTTTCTCATTTTTATACCGTATGCACTTGAGAATGAGAACAGACCAAGTCCTTCGAATTTCTCCGAGGTAAATTCAAACGCTAAAACAGGCATAAAGAGGGAGGACAGAGAATAAAGGTATTAACGAGCGAGCGAACTCTCAACCGAGGACTTCAGAGTGTGTACAAGGGAGGGATTGAAATTGTCGAAGAGGGGAGAGAAGGTGAGCACCGGAGATAAAGAGGGAAAGGTTTCCCTCCACCCTATTCCTTCGCGATTACTGTACACCTCAGTGCGCCCAATCCACACAGCGGCTGCGTTTCCGCTGTTCCGCGTTCCTTTTGAATCTCCCCATATACTATATTCCATTCCCAGCATCATCCACTTCCTACCCACCCCTCCTCCACCATCCGCCCCCTCTTTCTTTGAGTCCATTGCAACGTACTGGGTACACGCTGTGCTCTGATGCAAATACGCATGAACGAAGCAACATCGTCACTCTCTCCTTCACTCTGTCTCTCCGCCCATAGCTTTGAGTTTCTCATGAAATTGTTGGACAAACGGTATTCTCCAACTGCACAACGTCTGCTGACAATTATGCTCCAAAGATTTGTCTCCCCAAATTGACGTGAATCTCGTACCTCCCACTCACTCCCGCGATCTTCCAATTTGCAAGGTATTATCCTCTTGGTTTTTGTCACTGTCCTCCTGTGCACCATCGTCGTGATTACCCTCTGATTTGGCACGTCATTGCTGTCTCCCTCTTTCACTCCTCAATCATTGACTCTGAAAATCCAGGCGCCCTCATGCGATTGATAAATGTGAAGGGGATGCCAAAGGTATTTCCCGAGTTTAGCCAAAAGCATTTTCAAACGAGAATCCCTAAATCCATAATCCCTACACTGGTATCTACTCGAGCTTGTGACCATCAAAACGTTACTAATTTGATTCTCGCGTGTGTACGGCCACCTTCTCTCTAATGTTGTCAGGTTCGGTGGAAATTTACGCCAGCACACCAGGAGATACCCCAAGGTAACGCTTCCTCCATGTCCAAAAGCCATGTATACCGTTTCACCTACCTTCTTTGGCTCACCTATCCCTGGCTACAACATTTCTCAAGCGTTTGCACATATAACCCCAACTGTATGTATCACGAGATAAGATCGATATTACTGTGTGTATGCACAGGGTACATATTTATTGACAATATCTTGGAGGTATAAACGTGCCATCTACCTTCTCCGCTCGATTAAAGTGATTTGGGTAAAAAGAGAGAAATAGGGGGGGGGGGGGAGGGGGGAGGAAAAAAGTAAGAGCGATAAGGCCGAAGCCAAGAGACGCGGAATATCTCAAGACGATCTCTCACACAGGGCCGTGGACGACAGACGAATCGATCTTTTTATCGCACCCATACAAAGTTCGTCTTGTTCTCTCTCTCTCTCTCTCTCTTTATACCCCTACCCACACTCTTTCTAACTTCAGGTGCATCCACCAACCCCTTTCTTGCTTTTTTGTCACTCTTTCTCTCTCTCACTCTCGTTTTTTTGTTCACGTCTCCTCCCTTTACACACATCACAACGGTCTACATCCAGCCGCCTCGCTCGATAGCGAGCGTAATCGATTTCCGATTTTTGGAGTGGCGGCAATTTTTCAACGCCGCGTGAAAAATAACTCTTGAATAAGCGGGAATAAGAGGCCGTTATCCAGGCACAAGTCTAACTCAGAATGCCTTCAATCTTGCGCCATCTTTGCCGCTTTGTTTTCATTTTTTTTCGAGTTATTTTTTGGTCATGTTTTTCTCTGTGCCTCCAGACTCACTTTCCTCCGTATTATTTTGGTCATTTTTTCCCCGTAGGTTTTTTTTTCGGCTGCACGCCTCGCATCTTCCTTCAGTACTTCGTCTTCCTCTCCTCCAAGTGGTATTTCTTATGTTTTCCAGCCAACCCCTTTCACGTGAAAACGGAGGGAACCACCGCAGAGCCACGGTACTTTTATACCTTCATCCTTATTTTTTTTTCCTCGTCCACTTCCTCTTTTTCCGGGAGGATAACACGTTTGGCAGAGAGAAACTTAGCGAGTGGTAGGAAAGGAATTCAAAGAGTAAAAAGATATAGTGGGTTATAGTATATATGGGTTGAGCCGTTATCTATTTAATAGATTACGTTCGAACTTTACTTTTTGGAGCGTGTTAACTGCCGTCGAATGCCTCTTTTCGTCCACTATTTTTAACGATAAAAAAGTGGATAATGGCACGGATCGGAAAAGCATCTCAGAGAGGATAGTTGAGAGTGAAAAAGTAGGGTGAAGTAGATGGTGGGCAATCGTTTGCCAGGTACCAGAGAGTGAGAAACTGAAAAGAGGAGCCTATGAGAACGACTCCATTGGGGCATTTTATCAAAGAGTTCAAATGCTCGTGAATCTTTTTCGCAAACTTCTTCTCAAACAATGGCTCGTGGAGATAATCAATAAAGTTGAGATAAATTGAAGAATACTGAAGTACAACTTTTGCAATTGTACAACGTAGTTTCCTGAGATTTATTATTCCAATTCACTCCATCAAAATCGTGCAATCTAGGATTGGCATAAACATTTATAGTTTTAGGTTAACCCTCCAGTTTCTATTCAATTCTCCAAAATTACTTTTTACGATTCAGTCCAATGCAGATAGAGCAGGAAAAAAAAAGAATGAGAAAAAACTATCCAGTCTGCTCATGATGGCATTTCACAGGGTGGAGTATGTGTGCCGATGGAGAGAAAAATGGAAAAACTGTCACAGAAAAATGAAAAGTACAGTACAAAAGCGCATAAATGTTAGTCCGCACTGAAACTGGGCCAAATCGGTAGGGAAATTCGTGGGCAATAACGTCGACTGATCTTCTCCCTCTCTCTCTCTCTCTCTCCTCGCACCCCAGTTTGCTTTTCAGCCCTCTTGGCTAGTATATAACCCAGCTATATGTGTCCCAGCGGCACTTGCGCCACGGGAAACACCGAAAAGCCCCACCCCTCGCTTTACCTCCACGGGTTCTAGGAACTTAATAGTTACACAGGCGATTTATTTGCGCTGAAGCGTCCTTAAGAGCCTTGGATTTACGCCGCTTACGATAATTGTACCATGTACGTACAACCCCAGCCATTTTCATTCCAGTCAAATCTCGAGGAAATTTATTAACTCTGATAATCGTATTAGTGCTGTTCTTTTATCATGATCAATCTCCTTGAATTTCGTTTCGATGAAACAGTAGAGTGTTACGTGATACTTTGGCTGTCGGAGCACATGTGGACCCACATCTTCCACTCCTCCCCGCCCTTTCTTTTCCTCCGATGAGCAACAAAAAAGAGACTGGTAGGAAAATCAATGAAGCAGCAACATTCGTTAGTTTCCGATTTTTCCGTGTCACAGGTTTTTCGGTGACTCTATTTCTCTCTGTACAAATGTTTTTTTTTTGTCTCCTCTTTCCGGGATGAGATCCTTTCCTATGGAATTGTCATGCAGAAAAGAGAAATAAATACAGAGACGAGCGGCAAACAATACCAGTAAACGAAGGAGAAAATGGCTACGAGATAAAGCAGAAAACAATGCAATCAACACAACACAACCGAAGAGCTAGCACATTTCCGTAGCCAACACTTTCCAAGTAATCATGCCTCCTTTCTTCCAAGAGTTGTCTTTCAATTAGCGGAATGTGTATCAATGTTCACATTTGATATTTAACACGATGTTATGAAAGACGTGTTGATTTTGAGGACAGTTGAATACAAGTGTCCCCTTGGTAACGAAATGACAAGAGATGAGATGAGTGTGACGTTAGAGGGGTTGACTGATAATCATGGCGTTTGGAACTGTTGGACGGGGGAGATATCTGCCAATTGTTCGTTGGACAAACGGAAGAAAACGGTGCGTCTGTGCGATACTGGTCTCAATGCCACTGGTGTATTATTTCATCCCCTTGATGGATATTTCAGACATGCCTGGACCATGTCTGTCTACGTCTCAAACTTCCGGCCAACAACACACCCCACATTCGACTCTTCACTCAGCACAACCATTCATTCTCACATCATGTCAGATCACATTCTCGGTTTTTCCGTAGTATCCAGATAAAAGAAAAATAGCTGAAGGGGAATGAGGAGCGCCTGATTTTGTCAATCGTACATACACAAGATAAATGTTACGTCGAAGCGGCTGGACAGATTGGAACGGGTGGCTTGTAAGTTTATCACGGGGTTAGCATGCTACGGGTCTGCTGACTCTGGGAAAAAGTGGAGATAGACCCGAAGTTGGGCCACTTAGCAGGCTCACCCCGTTTCACCTCTTGCCAACTACTTCTTCTTCTTAATGTTTTTCTTTTCTCCTCCACAGATCTTTCTTCAGTACCTCGTTCATTCTAGTTCACCCACGCTCCTCTCGATTTTCCTGCTTTTTATTTTTCCCGTGGTGATTCTCTCTCT